TTCAGGGCTAGAGTTGGGTGGGTGGTATACAGGAACAAACTGTATCTGGGAACCTTCAGTTAAATGTAGTATTTTGATGTTAAGTACATCAGTCTTGATTTATACTGCGTCGTTCCAAAAGTCTTGCTTTTTTGAGCAATTGCCGCAATCCGTTGAACAAAAATTTATAGAAAACACTGGTAGCATTCGAGCAGTTTTTTATGCTCATTCAAATAATTGTCTTCGTATTGCAGTTCAACAAATTACTTCTCAGAAAATCACCAAAAACCACGACTCATGGTTTTTACCGAGGTCAAGTTTCGCTATTTTTTGAATTATTGTACTGGTTCCACAAAGCAGTTCAAGTAACGGATAGATAGAGCAAGCTCTGTAGGGTACGAAACTATTTTGCTCTCCTCCCCATAATTCGCCATATTGGTGGTGGTTATATGCTATTTAAGTTTTGTAATAAATTCGATCGCGTTTTTGTTTTTTTCTTATTTTTCTAAACAATGACCTTACTCGGAATAAAGTATATACGATTTTTTTCAAAAGCTCTAAGCCTGCTCTACAGATGCATATGCTTCATCTCCAAATTAGCAGAAAATTGAAAACGATTTTCTGGTATTGAAACAATTTTCGAAAACTACATTAGTCTTCCTTCAAAAAAAGTCAGAATGCTATAACAGCTAGAGAAATCTGCTGCTCGTAAGAAGAGAATTGTATAACTTCTGCAGCGCTTGAGAGGTGCTAAAAAGTTTTGAGAATCACTTCTGTAGACTCTAGAAATTTTTTTTTTCAACGTCTTTTCAAGGTTGACGTTGGGCTTCTGAAGGAAGTTCTGAGAGAGAGAGAGAGAGAGAGAGAGAGAGAGAGAGAGAGAGAGAGAGAGAGCAGTAGATGGATAACCCAGAAAATACAGAAGAGGTGGTAAAATGACTACAAAATCATAGAAATTCATAGGTTACTTACTCAAAAAATCAAAGTTTTTCACACAGCTTAGATACGCGAGATGACGAAAATCGCCACGAAAGTGCTTCGCCGACTCATCAAATATTCGGTAGAAAGAAGGGATCAAGCACAAACAGTTATTACAGATATAAGAGTCTAGGTGTTTTGTTTATTGTGAAGCTTCTTGCATAAGTTTTACCAATGGAAACCGGAAAATTCAAAGAGAAAAAAGATGTCGAAAATGATTTTCCGCCTCCTCGGGTTTCTTGTTTCAATGCCAAAAAAACTTTTTCAGTTTTCTGCTAATACAGAGATGACGCAGATGCGTCTGTAGAGTAGACTTAGAGCTTTCAAAATCTACACAGCCTAATATTGCATTTTAGCTAACGAGCTTATATTTTTCCCAAAACTCACGAGCCATGGTTTCGCCATGTGCGAGTTTCGCTACTTTCCTATATTTGTTTTACTGATATGGCAGAGGGCAGAGGAATAGATGGAGTGGGTTAATGATCTACCCCGGCGCTTCAATCTGGTTACAAACGGCTGCGGGGAAATCGAAGGAACTTCAATCAAGGTCGAATATCACAGTTTGCTTCCTCTTTCTTACTCTTCATCACACTCTTAGACGTGCCGTGAAACCGTTGTAAAATTGCCTGTATGGGCAATTTTACAAAGTAATTTTGATAGGGGAGAAAGTAGAGGATGAATGAAAATGGAAGGATAAAATGGGAACTTAAAACGAAGAGGCTCTTAACACAAGAACAGAATATACAAAAGTGGGAAACCAAACTTGAAAAATCTACGCATCGATGGTGTGGAGCTGAAAATTTGTACAACTGTCTAATTGCCATACTCTAGGGAAAAGGGATTTGAAAGGAAAGATATGGCAGCGAAGTAAAGACAGATATGGAGTGAAGGGCCTTGACAGGAGTTTCCTGCGACGGACGAACACCAATACAGCCCAGATCCTGATAATGTTGGACGGTTACTCGGCCAGAAGCGCTAAATGGAAGCGTGTGCTGAGGAGTGAACGTAAGTGTCATGGATGCGCGAATGCTCTGGACGTTAGGTGTTACATTTCACATTTGGAATGACGAATGTTAGCCCAAATGAGAGTTGCTCCACTCGTCCAGAATATGCAGGAAAGGAGACTGCGATGCTAGGTAGTGTGCGCATAAGAGAGGATGGCCACAGGGTCAGCCTAATCGTAGAAGGCTTAAGGTAGACCAAGAGGTAGGCTCAATTTACAATTGTATAGAGTCAAACGATGTGCGAGAAAATGGATGAACCTTTTCTATAGATCTGATAGAAAAGTCATGCTTCTAACAGGAGTTGGCGTCCCCTATGGCTGAGAAAGGAGGACGAGCTTGAGCAGGTGTATAGCGAATTGGCATTACTGTGAATAACTATAAATTTGAAGAGCTATTAAGAATCCAAAACATGTAAACTTTGCAGAGCGTGGCTGTCGCCCCCTTTTTGTAATTTTCCCCTGGTCACAATTCAAAAATAGTTGGGAAGCACCCCACAAAAGTTTTTCAAACTTCCTCATTCGTAAAATTTCTCGGGCCGCTGCTGAAATTTTTTCAATAACATTGAAAGCTAACTACTAATAGCTATTTTAGACAGAAGAAGCATTTTTGCACAAGTTGGATGTCTAACAGTACCATAAATAACCTAGAATGAAATGTCGAAAGTATGAGGCTAATTTGAATAGGGGCTTGACACCTTTCGATCTTTTGATCCCGATTTCGTTATGGTTGCGACTTTTCCAATCGTTCTAATTGCTGAAGTTTCGGTGCAATGACAACGGAGCTGGAGGACGAAGCGGTTCATGGGCAGTCAAAAATGAACTGCTGTCAAATTTTGGTGATGTTAAGTTGCAGACTCCTCAGTACACTGTAGTCAAGTCCCGCCCTCCAGCTTTCGAGCTCTAGACGGAAACGCCCTGCAAAAGCCCACCAGCTCCACTCACTTCCATCAAGTGGGCATCAATGTTGGGTTTCTGAAGCGCCTTTTCAAATCTTAGCGCATGAACTGGTTTGTTTGATTCGGTTTGCGGTGTTCTGGTCAACTACCTAATACCACCAAAGTCTGAAGAAAGTGCCATAACTCCATCAAAATTATTTTAGTCTATGTTGAGAGTGGTACTTAATGCAACGCCAGCGAGGCGGAGCAGCGGAGGTGTGGCACTTGCGCCCAAGAGTTTTCTTGCACATACTGAGGCACACTGTATCGCAAAATGCAGCTTAATCTGGCTGCTGGCATAACATAGAAAATTGCAGATCCGAAGTTCACATCTGTTGCTGCCACTCAAATCATTACTAAGGCACTCCAACACGTTGTATTGCACTTACTGCAAACCTGGCTTTCAGCATTGCAGCACTGAAGTGGAATTAGGGGGCAGATTTTGCTTTAACCTATCCTGTCAGTCATGCGCTTTAGCTCGACACTGGAGCGCAAGATGTGGCTGCAACAATTCATCTGACCGTTGTCATTGCTTGCGGTGAGAAGCTGAAGAACAATGTGGTTGCTGCAACTCCATGCAATGACAGCGGAAAAGATGTTGCTGCAACCCATTCTGGCTGTTGGCGTTGCATGCAATGACAGTGGAGCAAGAGACAAGATGTTGCTGCAACTCAATCTGGCTGCGTTGCATGCTGTGACGCTGGTGCTAAGGGAGTGTTGCTGCAACTTGATCTGGCTGTTGTTGCATGCAATGACAGTGGAGCTAGAAACAAGATGTTGCTGCACTTGATCTGCTTGTTGGCGATGCATGCCGTGACGGTAGTGCTAAAGGGAGAGTTGCTGCAAGTTGATCTGGCTGTTGTTGCATGCAATCGGCCATGCAACTGACAGTGGAGATAGAGGGCAAGATGTTGCTGCGAACTCATTCTGGCCTTTAGCGCTGCATGCAGTGACATTGGTGGGAGGGAGATGTTTCTGCAACTTGAGATCTAGCTGTTGGAGTTGCAAAACAATACAGATTTGCAGTCAAATTCGCATACTTTACCATTTTCCAGATTTCCTGTTAATCTACTCTCAAGTAGCAGAGAACAGTTACATGAATGCTCTTGCAGCAATGACCTACCCGATTAGCAGCAAAAATGACTTGCCTCATCGCTATCATCAGCTTGCTGTGTCTTTGAGTGTTGGCTGTAGTTTTTAAGCTTTGAAAAGGTCGGCAAGCTATTATGTTCCAAAAGTAAACACCTTTTTTGAATATATCAAGCCGCTTTTGTTTTTCAGTAAGCTTAGAGATCTATCGATAGAGCAGATCAAGCTCTACAAAATGACCATTAAGGATCCGTTTATTGAAACCGAAATCAAAAAAAATTTTGTCACCTGAAAGTTGGATTCATGCGAGAGAAAATCCTACGGACCTCGAATCGTCATTATACAAAAGGCACATAATAGTACTCAAACGTGTTTTTACTGAATTTTTTCTGCGCGTAAAAAGCAAGAAAAAAAAGGTAGTTCAAAAGATGGCAAACTCCTACCCCATCCCCTCCCACATACTACTAGTATACATAAGCCTTATCAAGTATAATCCTAAAACCTCATCCATTTATGTGCTCTTAAAGCCTGAAAAAGGGATATTTTAGCATTTTCGGACCATCTTTGCTTCTCATTCCTGAGCCCCGGAAAAGAATCCACCAGATACATTTTGGATACTACAGTGTGTACTATTTGTCTACTACATAAAGACCGAATTAAAAGTCCGTAGGAACTCTCTGGAAGGAGATCCACTTTTCAAAATAGCTGAAAAATCTTGATTTTTGGCTCCATTACTTCGCTTACATGGGTGGGTCTTTAGTGATCTTTTTGTAGAGCCTGCTTCTAAATCAAAAACAGCACAGCTTATTTGAGACTGGGATTAGTTTTGAGACAACCTAATAGTGTCGTACGTGATAGTGCATGTACTGGAATACCCGTACTATACTCTTGAATATTTCACCAGACGTCTTTGCAGCTTTGATTTGTTTGGACTTCATTTGTAAAGAGACATAAAGTGGAAATCGCACTTGTACGCAACTCGTACCCTGTTTCTCTGAAAGCTATGTAATCGCTACATTCAGAATTCTTATTTCGATCACAAAACAAGCAAAATACCCAAACTCGTCTTAGCTCTCAACTGATTCAACAAAATACAATATTATACATCTCGCAATATAATAAAATACTATGTAACTCCCTATAACCTAGAAATAAGTGAATGAAAAAGGCTGAGACACAATTTCACTTGTAATGAGCACCAAGAGAGAACGCACTGGGGTCGTTAAGTGAAATCCTAATTGATTACTAAGTTGAGTGCCTATGCTTTGTGGCACAGTTATCACTCAAGGGTAAAGTGGTCATAATAATTAGAGCACATTTGATATGGTACAAGATTATACATTATAGAAGACATGGACCGGGTAGAGTGTGGATCGAATCGTAATCGAGTAGCGAAAGTATTTGGCTAGACTATTTCCATCTTTTTCGGTTCAGGTTCCGGTTCGCTTGCTATCAGCTGAAAAGGAGAAGAATTTAACCGACTACGATGTTGCAAATATATCCATTTTGATGACGAATGATTGCACAGTTCGGGTGAATAGCATCGTTGACCCCCCCCCCTTCAAAAAAGGACAGTTCAAATTTAGCAATTTTATTTGATAAACTTTGGATATTGTAAGCCAAATAGTTTGACAAACTTACTTGATGTTTTTGCGCCCTCGGTCGAACGTAGATGGCATATGCAAGCGGTAATAAAGCTATGGAGAACAGCTTCATCATAGTAGATGTGCTGAAATTTTTTCCTTTATGGAAAAAACCCGCGATTTTTTCTAATAGATCTGGGAACTGAAATTTATACCTGAAGATGTCATCCCATGATCGGAGTTCAGATAGAATGTATCCTGCTTGCACGCAGATGAAGTTATATGGTGCTAGTCCTGAAACAAAGTTTCTTCTTTCGTATGGAGTCTAGGTATAAACTAGTACTCCCACTGTTAGCCGATTCGCTCAATCGGAGAAGTTATTACTCATTATTTACAAAATCATATGCAGCTTCATGGTTGTTCATAAGACTGATAACTAGCTTTCTTCATAAGATTGATAACTAATTTATTTTGCAGTAAAATCAAAGAATCTTCGGCCGAATGTTTGAGTTTTGAAGAAGACGTGCTCTGAATTGCATATACACCGCCCAAATGATGAGAACAAGCAGCACTTTCAGTGGAGGTCCAAGAAATTTTTTTTTGAAGTGGCCTGGGCGCCACGCCCGAGGAACTATCCATTATTTTGCAAGCTTCCAACTTTGAAATTTACAGATAGGAAAAGTGAGAGAAATTTTGAAAAATCTACCAAGAATTATTTGGTCTTCGCACCCTCCAGAAAATACTTTGTTTAAATGATTTCATGATTTTTTCACTCAAAATTGTGACGAGTGAGCAGACTTACATTTGACAAACTTTAGAATCCTATATAATAAAAAATCCTGCAGAGTGTTCGAGGAACAAGAATGCGCAAAAAATTTTGTTTCCATGAGAGCAGCCGGAAAAAACTTGTTTTCGTGGATGCTTTATGTATGAGCGAAGGGTCACGAAACGCATGAGAAGTGGGTGCGCTGACTCAAAGAATAGGATCAAATGTTGCACGAAATGTGACGGAATCAAGTGGATTAGGGTCAGCGCGAATTTGAGGAGACGTGCGAGGACGTCCGGGTTATGAACCCGATTTTGAATGCCTTGAAAATATTTTTGTGGAAAAAGCTGCCATGAAGCTTGTAGAAAGTATGCCAAGTTTTTATTCTTGATGTGTGGTTAAAAAATCAAATAGAACTTGGATGAATCTTTTCGAAATGTAACAGATGTAGACATAATATTAGGTTGTCCCGAAAGTTTTGTCCTTTTTTTTCATTGCTCACTAAAACTCACAGAATAACCACTTCATGGACAATTTAGGTGCCATTTGATTCAGATTTTTACACTCTTTCTAGTTATATTTGATCTTTCATCTACCCTGTCTTTGCAATGTTATCGCCATGGCTTTTTGAGCAGTTCAACAGTAACGCCAAATGTTTCCTGAATTATAAAAAAATTTTATCCTGATGTTTTCAAAGATCGCTGGTAACCATTATAAAGAGCAAACCTTTGGCTACATGGTATCCATTTCAGATTACATGGGCCACGTTTGCCAAGTCCGTTATAACTATTTATTTTTTTAAAACCGCGGCTTTTTGATTACGTTTAGCACGGAAAAGTACCAAAAACTCCGAAAAGCTGCTTTTTCAAAGCAAATCACACTTGATTATATTGCATAAATAATGTTCAATAAGAATCTTGTTTCAAATCGCAGAAACTTCAAAAGCTTTCGTGTATTTGCTGTGGTTGCGTGTTTCACGAATTTTCCAAAAATCGAGACCTCTAAAGAAATAATTTTCTGAAGCTAAAGACAGCAGATTAGGTGAATCTAAAAATATTATCTTGTAGTCCGAGAATTGCTCTATTTGAAGCATACTCAACACTTTGTGAAACTTTAGAATGAAATTTTCAAAAATCAGCATAACTTCGAGCAGATAAAATTGACGGATGGAGAATTTTGGCAATTATCAAAAAAAGCATACAAGACCGTGGTCCGAAAATGTGTCCGAAGGAAAGAGAAGGAAAAGCTGCATCAAATGCATCTTGAAACCCATTCAGGTCTTTATTGTGCGTGGTTCTACAATGGTTTGAAAAAACGGACAAAACTTTCGGGACAACCTAATATTTCTTATTGGAATTAAGCCAAGATGGCCGTTCACTTGAAACTGACCTATAAAAGCTGATATGACGAATATCCTCAGCGGTATGTTGAGGAAGGGTGCAACTATGTTCAGTAGCCAGGAGGGAGAAATTGGAAATATTCTAGCGAAAAGCAAAAATGGCATCAGTCGGTTCGAGTTGTCGTCTACCTGAAAAGTACGCAGTCAGGATACCCTTAAAGGCAGTGTCTCACCACAGTTTAGGTTGCGCGGATCTTCACATATTCTATTATAGGGAGCTCTAAGTAAACCATTGCAACAAGTCCCACTCAATTTGACCCCCTCCACGCTGAGAAAAATTCGCTCAAAGTGGTACGCGGAGAGCGACTTGGTACGCGCGGACGACTCCTTCGGTCTCCCCCCTTACGCGTTTGAACATGTCCCTCCACTTGGCATCCACCTCCCCTCTGTTGCTGCCATTGTGGCTGAGGCTGAAGCTGGAAGGTACAACTCGTCCACGTTGCTTCCTCGGGGCCTCCAGAAACGTGGTTTTTGGGAACTTCGTGCGATTTTAAGCCCATACAGTGCTAGACAGGGTCCGACAGGCTTGCAAAATGCAAAAATCTCGGCAACTAAATTTTGGTGAGACACTGCCTTTAATGCATCTACTAACACGGATACTATCTTAAACGGATTTTAAAAGCGACACCGGTTACCCTCTTTTATTACCAAATTAAAAAGCTTACCTTTTGTTGCAAATAAGTGAGTTTTTGTCCAAAATAGTACATAACATATTCACGTCCAAATTGTTCAGAAAATAGATAGCAAAGCGTTGACCCGCCTGAAACTCATGACTATGATGCAGTTACAAAGATGTGATACACGAAAAAAATAGAAAAATCAAACATTGAAGGTGCTTAGAAAAATTGTTTACCTGTTGTCAGCACACAACATAAAAAGAATCCGCACCAAAAATCGTACACAGCACCAGCAATGACATTCTGCAAGTAGGTGAGATGTAAGCACAAAATCATAATCAGTAAAATGACTAAGTCAGATAATGCTCATTATGATAATAAGAAGAAAAACTACATGTAAAGCACTGTCAAAAATGATATCTTGGACTCCACCCTCACATGCTGATAGTATTTCTCCGCTTTCGAGGGTGAAGAAAAGAGTGTGGATGAGGTGAGCAAACTTTATGCAAAAAAGAAAGATATAATTCTGCTAAAATCTTTGCTGATATTACCACACAAAAGTGGCACGATTTTTTTCAGGGTCGGGACAGCCCAGATGCGAAAAAACAAGAAGTAGTGAGGTGACTCTAAAAAAGTTGAAGGGACTTCGTAAATTTGCAAAAGTGGGGGAATGTTGCAAAAAGGCCTTGGTTCCAGCTTGTGTCGAGTCCTGACTAGTAATAAATTAAATTGTAGAAAATGGGACAAAATTCGTAAACTATCTGAAGGGACGCAAATGTCAGCCGACTAGTTGCTTTGGCATGGGGTAGACCATCAATAGGTTGACCACTGAGTTTTGGATGTTACTGATTTTGATTTTTTGAAGAGAACGTTCAAGTATAAATATTGTTAGTCAGAATCTTAATCCATTAAAAAACTAATTCTAGGTTTACCGTTTGATTTTGTGACCCCAAAGTTCAAATTAAGAAAATTCGTGCTAATTAAATATGCTTACGAGTTGTCGTGATTTTAGACTTTTCTCTTATGTCTTTTCTCTTTCCAGAATACTCAAATGCATTATCTGTTATATTTTATAAATAAAATTATCTTTTCGTTTTCAGTTATTTCAATTATTACTGAAATCAGAGTTTTATTAGGAAGTTTTTCCAACTATTTTTGGAACAGTTTCCGGAAATTTTGGTTTCAGTAGGAAAACAATGCTGGCGATACATACCAGCTTTCTGAAACGTGATACTGTTATCCAAATGAGGAAGATTTTTTGCTGACGTTTGCTGAATTAGCTTGTTACCGATCTTTCAACTTGAATTATCATGCTGCGATCAGCTATATTTCTTTCCTGTTCTGCAAAAATTTCGCGCAAAATCTTGAATCCCCAAAGCGCCCCCTAAGACATCAAAGACCAAATGGTCAAGCGATCGTAATGCTGCTTCGTCTTGTCTTCTAGGAATTTGCGGTTCCTGACAAGGCCAGCCACTAGCTGATAGGAGAAAATCCAGTTCAAGCTATGCCTGACTCAACCAAGCTCCTATTGCGTAATCGTACATGATCGTAATGCCTAAAGCCCCTTAGCCGACAGCTTCACCAGACCCGCTTGAGCAAAACATGACCACAACGAGAGAATTACACGATTTGCTTGATAGATGCCATAAATATCTTTGTAAGCGTTGCCTTTGAATTATTATAGAAGAGGGCGCATCCTGGGTTGGTTGCGCTGGAAACGACTTGTTCTGAGCGAGTTTTATGGATGTAAAGGAAGCTTGCGCATGCTTTTGATGGATTACAATCTTAAGTAGTGTTGCGATTCCAGAAAAAAAAAGATTACGCGCTCCAGTCATAATAAGTTCTACAAGGGCATGTTTAGTAAGTTGTTATACCAGAAAACTGTTAAACTCGCTTGGAATACGAAAGATAACGCGCTTCAATGTTAATATGGTCCACAAGTGCATATCAAAAGATGAGTTGTTAAACCAAAAAAGTCAAACTTGCTTGGAACAGAAAAGATAACGCGCTTCCTTGATAATGCGACCCAAAAGTGTATATTAAAGCATATGAGTTGTAAAAAAAGTTATTAAATATGAGTGATGCATTTGAAAAGACGTGAGATATGGCGCAAATTGTGCAAACACACATACACTGCAAGAGATTTGCGGCAGTCGCTATGCATTCGATATATGGTGTTTCTTTTTGACCCCCCCTCCCTATCTACGAAAGCAATGTCACATCACCATAACTCTGAAAAATCTCTTCCTTCTGCGCCGCGCTTGCCCTCTGGCTGTCACGTTCTTCGCCCCTTTCCCCCCCCCCCCCCCCGTCCAAAACTTGTATTTTTCGTCATGCTGCTAGGGATAGCGGTGGACCGTCGGCCAGAAAACCTGCAGCTCCACTTCTTGCTAGGCGATATAAACGCGACGAAACGTAATCGTCACATAAAACAGTCATCCGACAGCCGAATTCGGTAAAATCTTGATTTCAAATCCGACGAGCGCTATTCAATTGACAAATTGCGGTGGGTGGAAGGGCTAACGAAAGCGCGAAACTTGAATGCAAGTGATGTGGAGAGATGAGGAAAAAGTGGGAAGTTGATTCAGGCGAAAGGGACATTTTCATGAGGTACAGAAACGATTATAAAAGTCGAGTTTGGGCGTATTTATCCGTAACGCTGGGAGTTTGCAAGAGGAGGCTGTAAACAATGAAATTAGACTGGTCAACAATTCTTTGACCTAGAAAAATTTTTATCAAATGATCTTGCTTCTCCTCTTTGAACACTGTTAATTTCCTCGAAAGGCCCAAGATATCTCTTACAAAAGAGCTGATTTTTTAGATTTCGATATCTCTTTTCTATAAAAACAGCGACAATATGAAAAAGAGGAATGGTAGATGTATGAGAGCTTTACAAATTCCCTTTTTTTATATTAGGGGAACACTGAGACAAACGACCTAATCGTTGTTATAGGAGAAGATTACCATATTTTTGAAAAAAAAGGAGGGAAAAGGGAAGGGCTTAAAGAGTGCTTTTTCAAGATGTACGTGAATTGAAAATTATCTCAAGTTTCTTCAAAAAATTAACCTGAGATCTACAGGAAAAGTAAAACGTTGGTAGGAATGCGAACGAGTACAAAGAAATTCTCCTACAAAATCTCCCCCCCCCCCTCCCCTCCCCTCTCCTTCTCCCCCACACTTTTGCAAGACGTATTGACTTAGTATAATACTTCATATTCGTGACATTGGCACGACGGGAAACAAAAAATAACAAAAAGTATTAATAACAACGTGTAAAACGCGCAAATATCTCAAATTAAAAAATAAAAAATGTACGGGCCGTAAAGCAGTAAAACTCACCAAAAAGAAAGATCCAGGTATGGCGAACGTTTGCTTATACAAATAGGCACATACAAATAATGTCGTAATGTAGACGAAATGCTCATCTTTGTAATGTCGAAACCGATCCGCTAATGCAGTGAAATTATCGAACTGTTTTGGGAGCTCGAATGCGGCTGAAAAATGTTTGGATTAGAGGTGGAAGGCCACGATTCATCTTTGGACAAAAAAAAAAAACAGAATAAGGGAACAAAAGACCGCAAATTTTTTTTGGATCCGCAAATAGAGAGATGATTAGTTGCGCTAATTTGACTAAGAAGATGTATTCAATCCACTTTCGATATTCTGATGAAATTGAGCTGAGCATTACCGTTTCAGGTAAAGTGTCTTGAATTATGTTGTGTGCAAATACAGAAACGCACAGATCATCAGAAAAATCCGGGACGATCGCCAAAAGAGAAGGTTGCCAAAAGATATCAATGGAGTTTGTACTAATTGCATATCCTTGGTGATGCTATGCAGGGATACGGTAGGTTTACGGTGTCTGGTTGTCAAAATCTTTTTTTTAAATCTCAACCTAGTTTGGGTTACACAGCTAGGTTTTTGGTAATATGATGACTAAGATATTTTTCTCATTTGTCAGATTACTTCGAAAAAGACTTTTTCAGTAATCCGCTTGAAAAATATTTTAGAAAATTTTGAAGGTTAGCCTCCATCATCAGCAGGGATCTTAGAATACCGTAACCAAAAAATTTCTGTACTCACTTTCACTCTCCCATCCGGGTGCTGAACATATCATATACCATAGCGATAGTGATGATATAGCAAATATCGCCGGTAAGATGAATAGTCGTGTCATCGATGTGGATATCGATCGATTTCAGCAGCTATCGATCACGATTATCGATTGCGGTCACAGAATAGACGACGTCTACGGAAGCAATGGACTAGCGACTGGGGATTCGTGTGTGTTGGTTGGGTTGGTTGCGACGTATGTGTGTGGCGACGATGGGGGGTGAAAATGCGCTAGCGGCTATCCATTTCTCTTCTCCGAGTTCGGTTGTTGATCGGCCTTTGCTGCTACGTATGTCGTCCGTCTCGTCTACGTCGCGTCTACGTCGTGTCGTACGCGCCGCGCACACCAGATCGGATGCGCGCAAAACCGGCTAAAGGCTTTTGGCGTGTTCGGGCTGAATGTGTATTGATATGGAGATTGACTTTGATCGGCTTCTCTGTGCAGCTATCACTATGCCGCTAGTCTGCGTGGGGACCCTAAATAAGGAGATTTTAAGTATTTTTCTTAAAGTATACGGTAGCATTACGATAGAATACGTAGCTACGGAAGACATCATTATAACGGATTAGTAGTAAAGGACTACATCTAACTGGTGGAAAATCGTTTTGCACTTTTAAGCTAATAGCCTGATTGCAAAATAAGCACTTTGACGTATTGCAATTCTAAGGTATACGGTAGTACCACTATAGAATTACGGTAATTAGGTAGCAAGCAGACATCGCTATGAAGGATCAGTAGCAAGGGACGACATATAAGTCGTAGAAAACTGTTTGCAATTCTAATCCTAATGCTGTGATTATGATCACCTTACAAGAATCGTAAAGAGGTATACGGTAACACCAAAGATTACAGTATGATTACGATAACACGCGATATCATCATGAACATATACAGGATACGATGAGAAAAAACTGTTTTTCGCAAATTCGGAGCTAATTGTCTGATTGCCATGCAATTCGCAGGCATCGCGGCGCTGAAGTAACTATGGAGCCACGGTAGGATTACCATAGGAATACAGTAACCACATATCCTTATATCATCATAAAGGATCAGTAGTAAATGGCGACACCTAGCCGGTAAAAGCTCCCTTATATCTTCTAAGATAATAGTGGTTGCCATAACAGTGCGATGGGATAGCTATCACATTGAGTCCTACGGTAGGCTTACGGTACTACGCACATGATCATTCTACAGCATCAGCAAAAGACCGACATAGCATTTGACCATTACCATTACACCGTACGTTGCAACTATGGGATTCATTGTTCATAGGGCTGTTAACAGTAAGACCTACAGGATAACGGTAGGGTTACGGTAACACTAAAGCATCTCCGTGAATAAAATCACTAGAGGTGGTGACTTGACAACCTTACCGATGATAATCAATGTAAAGATGACAAGTTAGGGGAGATGAAGCGTTTCAGTGGCGCAATATAAATGTTGCATTCCTGAGGCATCGGTAATCCTACGTTAGGCTTACGGTAACACTTCCAGTCCATCATGAAGATATGCATGATCTGTCGCAACATGCCAAGAAAGTTTACCGGTGATAATGCTCAATGGCAAGCTATGAGATTCAATACCGAAAGGTGGCAGATACGATGCGAAGACGGTAAGATTACGGTAGCGCCACAATAAGTAGACAAATCTTGCAAGCAGCACAAAAACGCAGGCATGCTTTTGCGACTCCATGGTAATTTGTAACGGATGGTTAGCGAAGCTAAATTAATGAGCGCAGTTTCAAAGGAGCCGCAGCATGGTATCACTACGGTAGCGAGCGTATGTCAGCAAAATTAAGGAGGTACCCTCACCATTCATATAGTCGCAGAATATGGAACATATAAAGAAATGATTTTTGCTTCAAAAGTATAGTTGCAACTATGCGAAATAAATTAAACGGATGATTGCGATCAAGGTAGTATTAAGGTAGCACACGCAGGCGAAAGCATGCCTAATAAGCCCTGGTAGTTGTAGTTAGGAGCCCAGTTAGATAATGAAGTAAAATTTGAGACATTCTTGGCTACTGAACATTGCACAAAAGGTGAGAGGAGCTACTAAAATAGAAGAAGACCACTGCATGCCTGAACAGCGAGGAATGCTGCTGGTGGAAAATTTATGCATGAATAGACACTTTGAATGTGCAAACGCTGCAGAAGGACCACAAAGAGGATAACAATTTTTTTGGGAAGCGCAAAGTGCGGGAAGGGGGTGGAGATGGTTGAATGAGCAAATATTGAGTGAGATATTCAGTCGAAAATTACAGCTGAGTAGGGTGTGGGCGGAAGCATTACTTGTCCTAACTTCAAACTTCTCTCATTAAGGTAACAAATTTGAATGCACAATTGTTTGACTTTTTGTTATGAAATTCAGATCGATAGAATGAATACCAATTTCTGATTTTTTAGACCCTATGTCCTCGTTTTGAACTTCATTTTCGTCCATTTATCTTCTCGCATATTGCGATAAAATCTATTGTAACCATCATAAAGGGTCATTGTTGATTGATTTCGAAGCAGTCAGTTTTGAAAGGTGATTGATTCAGTCGAGTAAAAAGTAGATTTATTGAAAGAGATACTGGAAATTTAGAAGTGAACCCAACATAATCGAATTGGAACAGCACAGTGAAAAAGCTGTACTACGTAAAAAAATATATGCGCATCCCTATGTCCACCCAAAATCAGTAAACTTTCTGCAGTTTTTATCACAGGTGGAAACGCCATTTATAGAAGAAATTCATTCGCTACAAACGTCCAAATATCGTCAATGACTGTACTACAAACATGTGACTAAAGTGCATTCAAGTACCCTTTGATCCAACTGGCATGGCGCTGGAAGGCAGGCCTTCGCGACCTAATCAAGGCTAGATAATGATCAGAGAGAACGCGCGCGAGAGAGACGCAGATTGGGTAGCGGGCGCGAGCTGCCTTAATTAGATCACGAAGCCCCGCCTTCCAAACGCCAAGTCAGTTGAATCAAAGGTTATGATTATTTTTCGCAACAGAGTTTTCTGTTTAAAAACCTTTTTTCAAAAATAATATCTCATTATAAGTTTTGCTTATCACATCCGTGCACAGTAATCTGACAAGGATCCTTGAAAACAATAGAATTTTCAGGAATTCCAAGAATAAACGAGTTTACTATCAAAATGGCTCATGCAACGGTAGCGCGGTGGATGTTTTCAAGAAAATTCCTTATTACATGCAAAAGAAGAAATTGATCGTATTTCTCACGTTTTAGATCGATAAGAATATTTTACTAGTCATACCATGAATTCATCATAAAGTTTTTCAATTCGATTAGAGCTACAGTAGAAAACAGACTAGAAAAATATTCTAGGATCTTTCTAAGCCACCAAATTTAGTTATGGCTCCATTTTTGTGGGAAGAAAGACGATTATCGCGCAAAATAGTGCCTGCGACATGGAAAATTGTTTTTCAAATTTGCATCACTTTGAATTTTCTTCGAAGTGAAATCTAAACAGGGCCAAAAAAGACTTGTGCTTAATTGAGGAAGCATTATGGTATGTTGCACTATTTATGGGGTACGGTGGGAGTACGGTAAGAGTTCCAGAGATCCCATTTAAAATGATTTGAAAAAAAAACAATGTCTTCGCAGGTAACACAGGCAAGCTATATGGAAGAAATAGATTACGGATGAACCTACGAATTGGTAAAGTTTCATGAGCGTAGGCACTTGTGATCCCTTCGGGAATTAACGAATTCGAATGAAAGCGTTGCGAATCGAGGTCGTCTGTCATGAGATTTGCCTCGTCGACTTCCGGAACGACATCCTTTACCCCCCCCCCCCCCGCTGTGCTACAGACAATGAGAACTTTTGATTCGTACACTCTCACATGCTGTGCGAGCGTACGTGCTTTTAGTGAAACTCGAATTGAAACATTTTCATTCAAAAAGTGTTGAAAAGTAGTTCCGAATTTTTATTACCTTGGAAGGAACTTTCATCGATATTTATTAAATGTTTATTTTTTCGAAAACGCATGGAGTTAGTTAATAAGTTAGTTAAAAAGAGAAATTTTGTGAATGCTGGAATTTTATGGCAGGGATAGTTTATCAAATTACAATGTGAAGAACAGAAGGAAATGCGAAAGAATTCTCATAGGTTGCGACAAAATTCAAAAGACTATTTTCCAAGATCAAAGCTCAAAAAACTTAAGGTACGAAAACATTGAAGATGCGAAAAAACCCAAAAAATTGGAAAAATATATTTTAAAAATTGTTTAAGGGCTTACAAAGAGAAAGGAAACAGCAAACGACCATCCTACTGACATGAAACTATGCTAACCACCCAGCAACTGAAGATTTCCAACCTCTAAATAATAGCTTTTAGCCCCCTCCCCCTCCCCCAAAAAGGCAAGGGAACCGGTCTTTCCAAGCTAGACGTAACGGATCCGAGTTAGCCGAAAAAAGCTAAGCCTTTCTTTTTTCGTGTGAACAACATCAAAATAGCTACCAATATTGGTTGAGAAGCAGCTAATGGGCGAGGGATCAAGTTCAAGATCCTTGACTGAGTTTTAGCGAGAAAACAAACTTGTTTCAAGAAAATTTCGCTCCACGAGTTAGTTCACTTCATACTTGAGAAGGATTTTTGTGTTGTTTCTGTAATAATAAACAAAAAAATCAGTACTTGATTCTTGCAAGTGAAGGGAGAAAGAGTGCACTTGCAAGTTCATAATTCTTCGTTTTACATATAATTTACCAAATTGAGTAAATCTTGTACGTTGATACTACTTTAGGCAACCTCTACTTCAAATGGAAATTACCTAGAAGGAAAAAGTCTTTTAATTATTTAGCCTGTAGGTGTCTTTTCTCTCTACACATTATATTGTTCCTGTCTCGGAATTTTCATAAAAAAATAGTGACTGAAGAAACGGAGAACGCGAATTCAACGGACCAAGTCCCAATTTGTATACTTCTTTAAGATGATAGAAAATAAACAAAAGTAGCGGTGCAAAATTTTTATCAGAACGCTCAAAATTTCCAGTGATAGATGTAGTAAAGTCTACATGATTGTGAGAGAGAAAGCGTTATATGGATTTGAACCCTTGGTTTCATAACTTGTACGCAGATTAGATCGAAACTAGCTGCAGTGACGAACGGGGGGCCATTCAAAGCAAAAAAAAGCTTTGATTGATTACCTGAATGAACGGTACGTTGTCACTTGTCTACTAGAATTCCGTAATGAAAGTTACAAAAACAAGACGTAGCTCGATTTTGTGAATTGTTGGTCCTCATACTTGCCATCAACGTTATGACTTCCAAGGAAAATCAGCTATACTAAGCATTTGACAAAAATAGCGCTATTCCAAGCATGATGCTCATGAATCTTCCATGGATTACCATTAAACCAACTACGTAACAGGTCTTCTTGGACAACCGCCAGGAACTTCCGCAAAATGTTTGGAAAAGTTCCGCCGGGTCACCTGCGGAAGTTCCGAAGAATGCGAAGCACAACAGCAAA